GTGTGCCCCTGTGCCCCTGGAGGCACGGCCTGCTGGTGCCCGAGCTCTGGTGGCCTCCGGCGGAGCTCGCGGGAGCAGCGACGGCCAAGCCTGGCGAGGGTCTGTTGCTGCACCACCTCGGGGTCCCGCTCTGCGCCGACGGCCACACGGGTGTCCGTGCCGTTTTAAACATCGGCGGCGAGCGAGGGGGGGAACTCAGAAGGAGAAGACCCTCTCAGAAGACGGCGAGACTTCTCAGAAGACCTCGCGCCTTCTGAGCAGTTTTTTGTCTTCGGGGAAGGCTTAGAAAACTTCTCAGAAGGCCGGGGGACTTCCGAGCCTTCTGAGAGGGCCTTCTCCTCTCTTCTTCCCCTCGCTCGCCGCCAAAAACAGGTAGCAAATCATGGGAGCCTGGTGTACGGCAGGTTTGCGTCGTGCCGACCAGCGGCGACCCCAACGCGTGCGTTGAAGGTGGAACACCGCCCGTGGTCCAGAATCGGCCCGTCGTGGAAGGATGCGGCGTTCACGGAATGGCCGATCGTTCGAGTCTGAACGATCCCGTCGGGTGTCGGGGACCAGAGCCGGGGTCGACACGGCACGAACCTGCCGTACCCTCGCAATTGTATCTTTAGCATCGGCTCGCGTCGATTAGCGTCTGGGAGTCGACGGGATAGCGCCGATTTAGCTCCGATGAGCGCCGACTCGCGTCGATTTAGCGTCGATTTAGCGTCGACTAGCGTCGATTCGCAAGAGCCGACAAGGTGGCATGGGAGGCTCCCGTGAGTTGCCACCGAACTGGTTCACCGATCCCCATCCCACAAGGCCATCTGGATTTCTTGGGTCGGCGCCGGGCCGTCCTGGCGGCGCCTCTGGCGCCGCCCCTGGCACGTTCCGCACGACAGTGTAGGGGGACCCAGCCCAGCGCCGATCGATCCAAGAGATCCGCACGGACCTCCGGGAATTGATGTGTGTGTGTGCTTTTTTTGGTTCCTTGAATTCCACCGCCCCAGTTGGGGACAGGCCCCTCGATGCCCGCAGGGAACAGGCCATCTATATATATATATATATATATATATATATGTATAATCACATGTATATAATCACACATATATATACATATATATATATATATGTATATTACATATATATATATATATATATATATATATATATATATATATATATATATATTGCCGGCGGAACAGGAGCGAGGCCGCCAGGAGTGGACCTGCGCCCCCCATGGGGGCTCCCGGGCTCACTTTCCTTGTGTTTTTACAGGGTTTCGGCGTCCCAGGGCCTCCGAGGGAGGCCGCCAGGAGTGGACCTGCGCCCCCATGTGGGCTCCAGGGCTCACTCACTTTCTCTGTGTTTTTACAAAGTTTCGGCGTTCCAGGGCCTCCGAGGCGCCAGCGTTCCATGGCCTCCGAGGCGCCAGCGACGGTTCCAGGGAGCTCCAGGGCTCACTTTCTTTGTGTTTTTACAAGGGATCGGGCCCGCCAGGCCGGTCCCTGCGTCCCCCATGGCCGCTCCGGGGCTCCGGGAGCGCTCCTGTCCGGGCCAAGAGGCGGCCCGGACGTGCCCAGGGAGGCGCAAGTGGCCCCCAAACTGGTCCTTGACGGCCCTGGGGCGCCCAGAGATCGCCCCTGGACGCTCAGGATGGCTCCCATTGAGCCCAGGAAGCCGCTACAACGCCCCAAGTTGTTTCCCAAGAGAGCCCCAAGCGGCCAAAATCATTGATTTGTGTAGGAAAGCGTGCACTTTTAGCATCTACGTCTTTTCGGTCTTCACGGCGTGCACGAGGGTACAAGAGGCCCCCACGACGGTCCCAAGACGGCCCAAGAGGCTCCCAACGCGGCCCAAGAGGAACCCAAGACAGCCCCAGAGGCGGCCAAGGCGTGCTCAAGTGGCGGCCACGACGTGCCCACGGAGCCCCAAGAGGCTCCCAAATCGGTCCAAGACGGCCCCAGGGCTCTCCAAGATCGCCCCTGGACGCCCAAGATGGCTCCCATAGGGCCCAAGAGGCCGCTACGACGCCCCAAAAAGGCTTTCCAAGAGAGCCCCGAGCGCCCAAAATCATTGATTTTGCATGGGAAAACGTGCATTTGTAACATCTACGTCTTTTCGGTCTTCACGGCGTGCACGAGGGTACAAGAGGCCCCCACGACGGTCCCAAGACGGCCCAAGAGGCTCCCAACACGGCCCAAGAGGAGCCCAAGACAGCACCAGAGGCGACAAAGGCGTGTTCAAGAGGCGGCCAAGACGTGTCCACGGAGCCCCAAGAGGCTCCCAAATCGGTCCAAGACGGCCCCAGGGCTTTCAAACATCGCCCCTGGACACCCAAGATGGCTCCCATAGGACCCACGAGGCCGCTACGACGCCCCAAGAGGCTTTCCAAGGGAGCCCCAAGCGGCCAAAAGTATTGATTTTGCATAGAAAAAAAAACGTACATTTCTAGCATCTACGACTTTTCGGTCTTCACGGCGTGCACGACGGCACAAGAGACCCCAAAGACGGCCCCAAGAGGCTACCAGCACGGCCCAAGACAGCCCGAGGGGCGGCCAAGGCGTGGCCAGAGGGCCCTATGAGGCTCCCAAAACGTTCCATGGCGGCCCCGGAGCGCTCAAAGCTAGCCCTTGGACGGCCAAGCCGGTTCTCACAGTGCCCAAGAGACCGCGAAGACGCCCCAAGAGGCCCCCAAGAGGCTTTCCAAGAGGGTCCCACGAGGCCAAAATCATTGATTTTGCATGGGAAAACGCATATTCGTAGCATCTACGACTTGTCGGTCTTCACAGCGGTGACGACGGTACAAGAGGCCCCAAAGAGGGCCCCCAAACGGCCCAAGAGGCTCCAAAGACGCCCCGAGAGGGGGCCAAGACACCCCAAGAGGTCCCCCATACGACCAAGGAGAGCTCCAAGACGGCTCCAAGAGGAGCCCAAGAGGGGGAGCCCGACCCGAAAATCCGACCCTGGAGGCCCCTAAGAGGCTCCAAGAGGCCCCCAAGAGATCCCCCGGCCAAACCCAGCGGGGGCTTATGGAGGGGAAGATCCCCCCAAGAGGCCCCTAAGAGACTCCAAGAACCCCCCCGCGGCCCGCCCCCCGCGCAGGGACGGCGACGACCTCGACGGCGACGGCGGCGCCGCCGCCGTCGTCGTCGTCGCCCTTGCCGTCGTCAGCGCCGCCGCCGTCGTCGTCATCATCGTCGCCGCCGTCGTCGTCGTCGCCTCCGCCGTCGTCGCGCTCGTCGTCGCAGGCGCCAGTCGAGGACCGATCAATCGAGGATCGAGGTTCGACGAGGTCTTTCGGTTTTCGGCCCCAGGGAGTCTTTTTGAGCGGACCTTAGCTGATCAGAGAGCAGCGCGAACGCCAAGGACGCTAAGCAGCGCGAGCGCTAAGGACGAGCTCTGTTATGTTTGTTCGAATCTTCCGTCGACCTTTTTTCCGGACGCGTTTCGACGAAGTTTGACTCGATTTGTCTTTGGCCTCGGCTAGAACCAAAGCGCGCGCGAAGCGCGCGCGATGGTTCTACATACATACATACATACATACATACATACATACATACATACATACATACATAAACAAGACTGCAGTGGCGCTTCGCGCCATGCACCTTGGTCCTTGAAGTTTTGTACGCAGGCGGAATAGCAGGAAGGTCAAGCCGACAATTTGGCGATAACTCTTTGTCACATTTTCCGGCATCGCCGCTATAATATGTTTCTTTTTTCTCATTCTCGCCATGCCCTGCGCATTCTCCCCATGCTCCTCAGCTCGTTTTTTGCAGAGGCTCCTCCTTGGAGAGCCTTTGGGGGTTTCGCGAAAGTTGCTTCAGGATGTCTCAAGGCCTTCCGGAGGTCTCCTGGGCGTATTCTGGGGGCCTCTGGGGGCTTCCTCGGGCCACCCTGCCTCCAACCGCGGTCTCCCTGAACGACTGGGTCGCGATTTGGAATGCTTCGGAGGGTGTCATGGGACCATTTTGGGCCGCCATGGGGCTCTCTGGGGGCCATCATGGACCCGCGTTGTGCCGTTTTGGGGTTCTCTTGGGCTGCCTGGAAGCCCTTTCGGATGGTTGTGGGGCGATTTGGGAGCCTCCAAAGCGGCTTCGGACGCCCAGAAGACCGTCGTTTTGGAGCGTCGGGGAGCCGAAAAAGGAGAACGCCGCAAATCACCAAAAACCTGCAGATAATCAGTGATTTTTGCCTGTTGGGGCCTTCTTGGGGGTGTTTTTGGAGGCCTTTTTGGGGCCGTCCCGGGGGCCTCTTAGACCATCTTGAGGTCACGTCGGTCACTCTTGGAACGCTCTTGTGCTGTCTTGGGGGTCTCTGGGACGTCTCCGATGACCCCCCTGATCGCCATAGGTGTGCTGGGACGGCGTGGCAAAACGCCCTGCGAGGCCCGGGGGGCCGCTTCGAGGCCCGTCTGGAGGGTCCCAAAGCCCCAGATCCCGGGAGTCCGTTTTTTTGTTTTGGGGAGGGGGGGTCCCCCCGCCTGGGCTTAAAAAGTATAGGGAATGGTGTGTGTGTGTGTGTGCGTGTGCGTGCGTGCGTGCGTGTGTGTGTGTGTGTGTGTGTGTGTGTGTGTGTGTGTGTGTGTGTGTGTGTGTGTGTGTGTGTGTGTGTGTGTGTGTGTGTTGTGTATATAAATATATATATATATATATATATATATATATATATATATCCTTCTAGGGGGGTACAACGGCCACTAGGGCCCAGGCCACGCCAGCGGGGATAGGGATCGGTCAAGTGATGCTCAGGTGTGGGTGTGGGCAACGCTCCTGACGTCTGGGCAGCGCCTGCCTCGCTCTGCTCGTGGGGCGCGGCTCCAAGGAGCCCGCGGGTTCAACAGCCGGCCCAGGCGAGCTCGCTGCAGGCCGTGATGCAGGAGATTGCTGAGGTTGACGCTGGCTCGGTGATTCTCGTGCGCAAGATCAAGAAGATGGGGTTCACGCGGTATGCACATCACGGGAGCCTGGTATACTTTCGTACTCTTGTCTTTCGTGTCGACTAGCGGCGACTAGCGTCTGGGAGTGGATGCGGTAGCGCCGATTTAGCGTCGGCTAGTAACGTCGACGAGCTTCGATTTAGCGTTGATTGGCGTCGATCTTCAAGAGCCAGCAAGATGGTATGGGAGGCTCCCGTGAGTTGCCACCGAAGGTTCAGCTCCCGCAGGCTCCTGCGCGACCACTTCTCGCAGTTTGGGATGGTGGCGAAGGCTCCGCCGCAGAAGCATACAGGGGAAGCATGCCAAGAAACACCCCGCTCGCCTCCAGGGTGCCCAGGGTTTCTTTGGTTTCGATGGCTCTGCGATGGAGAGCGCGACGCCACGCTCCCGCACCAAAATTCCATGGGCTCCCTGGGGTCTCAGGGTCGGTCTTCCTGTGGAAGGCTTCCTGTGGCCTGACCTCCGCTGCATGGGCGCGACCGGAAACGTCGGCCGGCGGGAGTCTCGTAAAGTGAAGTCGGGCCTGTCCCTCTACAGGAGGAATGGTCAAAAATAGTCCATTAAACATGGTCAGGGGACCATTTTTTGATTATTATCTTGGAGCAGTTCGGGATTGTCGTCCGAGTGTTTTTTTCATTTTTCGGCCTAAACCCCCTCCTGTGTGGGGACAGGCCCGACCCAATCGTAAATCAGGAGGGGAAAAAACACACAGACACAATTAATCGGCGATTCCCAGAAAATATGGGAAAATATGGGAAGTGGGGGGGAAGACAAAAACCCAGAAAATATATGAAAATATGGGGGATACTTTTATTTGTGTGTATTTATTTGTGTGTCCTAATTCCCCTTCAGTAAAGGAGGGGGGGGGGTGGGTGGCAGCGCAGGCGCTCCGGGGAATCCGCGCCGATCACGGCCGGAGCCGGGGAGCCCCGCGGGGGCCCCGCGGCCCTCGCGTGCCTCGCCCTCGCCCCCCCCCCCCCCGAGGCAACGGCCTCGCCCAGCGCCCTCGCGCTCCTCGCGGCCCTCGCCCAACGCCCTCGCGGCCCTCGCCCCTCGCGCTCCTCGCCCTCGGGTTTGAGGATGGTCGAGGAGTCGTAAAACAAGTGATGATCGAACAATAGTCTGGGGACGGTGTTTCGTTGATGTGCGGCCATGTCTGAAGATGTGTGTTTACTACTTCTCATTCCCCCCATCCTGAGTGGGGTTCTCGTTTTCCTGGAGCACCCTCTCCTCCTTCTCCTTCTCCCGCCTCCCTACCCTACCATATCATACGTACCATACCATACCATACCATTGCATACCATACCTACCAGACCATACTTACCAATACCATACGAATCCCATACCTGCCATACCAGACCAGACCAAAACCATACCAAAACCATACCAACCACACCACACCATGCCAACCATATCACACCACCTGCCGTACCATAGCACACCTATAATACCGAAGAGCCACGCCGGAGCGAGGACAGCATCGGGATACCTTAGCATTTACAAGGTTTCGTGCACCCCCCCACCCCTGAGCGAGGAGGGCATTCGAAAATCATACTACTTAACAGGTGTCGTGATACTCCCACTCCTGCCACTCCTCCAAGGCCCACTCCTCCAGGGAGGCCCTGCCTGAGCGAGGAAGGTATTCGAACACCATGTTATGTAACAGGTTTCGTACCCCTCCCACTCCTCCAGGGAGGTCCCGCCTGAGCGAGTAGGGTATTCGAAAACCATGTTATTCATCAGATTTCGTGCCCCTCCCACTCCTCCAGGGAGGCCCCGCCTGAGCGAGGAGGGTATTCGAAAACCATGTTATTCATTTGGTTTCGTGCCCCTCCCACTCCTCCAGGGAGACCCCGCCTGAGCGAGGAGGGCATTCGGAAACCATATTATCTATCAGGTGTCGTGCCCCTCCCACTCCTCCAGGGAGGCCCCGCCTGAGCGAGGAGGGTATTCGAAAACCATGTTATTCATTTGGTTTCGTGCCCCTCCCACTCCTCCAGGGAGGCCCCGCCTGTTTGAGTAGGGCATTCGAAAACCATATTATCTATCAGGTTTCGTGTCCCTCCCACTCCTCCAGGGAGGCCCCGCCTGAGCGCGGAGGGAATTCGAAAAGTATGGTATCTATCAGGTTTCGTGCCCAACCCACTCCTCCAGGGAGGCCCCGCCTGAGCGAGGAGGGTATTCGATCACCATGTTATTCATCAGATTTCGTGCCCCTCCAACTCCTCCAGGGAGGCCCCGCCTGAGCGAGGAGGGTATTCGAAAGCCATGCTATTTAGTAGGTTTCGTGCCCCTCCCACTCCTCCAGGGAGACCCCGCCTGAGCGAGGAGGGTATTCGAAGACCATATTACTTATCAGGTTTCGTGTCCCTCTCACTCTTCAAGGAGGCCCCGCCTGAGCGAGGAGGGTAGTCGAAAACCATACTATGTATCAGATATCGTGCCCTTCAGGCCCCGCCTGAGCGAGGAGGGTATTCGAGAAGTATGTTATGAATTAGGTTTCGTGTCCTTTCCCCCCTTCAGGGAGGCCTCGCCTGAGCGAGGAGGGGATTCGAGAACCTTGTTATTTATCAGGTGTCCTGTCCTTCCCACCCCTCCAGGGAGGCCCCGTCTGAGCGCGGAGGGTGTGCGAAAACCATGTCACTTATCAGGTTTCGTGCCCCTCACCTCCAGGGAGGCCCCGCCTTTATCCATCTTCCTAAACCTTCTGCGTCCCGCCTGTAAGGCCGCGCCCCGATCAAACGAAAACCCCATGTGGGGAACTCCGTTACCATTATTTCTCTTCCAAAATCCGTTTGTATGAGGACATGTCCGACCTAACGATAACTTGGGGCCGCGCAGGTGACAGGCGCACACTGGCCGACTGTAGAAGCACCCCTGCGTCTTGGAATGGGGGGGCCTCGTCTGTATATGTGTGGCCGGCGTCTTCTAAGAAACAGCCTGCTTCTCAGAAGCTTTCCCCCTCCCCTCCTCCCTCGTGAGCGCCGCCAGTCAGAAGAAGGCCGCGGTGTGTGAATCAGCACCGAGTGCCTGCGATCTTAGACACTGCTGCCCTTCCTGACGGACAGGACGACACCACGCCAGCAGGCGTGTGTGTGTGCATACGGTAAGGGCGTTGGTTCAGGACTGTGCCCAGAAGGCTTCAGACCCTCGAGGATACCTTTTCTTACGAGGGCGGCAGTGCTATAAATTCCGTGGCCAGTCCACGACGGGAGTTCCAGCGGTCTCCAGGCCCCGGATGCCTCCTCCAGCGGTTCCTCATCCACTGACCTCACCGTAGAAGCTCGTGACGCAGAGGTGCTCATGGCGCACTCGCGCCTCAAGGGCTCCGAGCAGCCTCGGCTCCGGCCTGCCAGCCTGGGCTTCGTCGTGATGCGCAGCAGCGCCGAGGCGGAGCACGCCTTCGCTGCAGGCTCCACGCAGGAGGTGAGCGGCGTCTCGATCGATGTCCTCCGCTTTGTGCGCCGCGGCGGCGGCGTGCCCGAGGGCCCGGATCGCGGGCAGGGCCTGGACGAGCTGCCCGAGGATCGGCGGCGGAATCCGAACCCGATCCGTGCCGATCAGCGATTCAGGCAACTCGATGGGCGGCGGGGGAGTCGAGTTTCGAACCTCGAGGATCGAGGTTCGAGGCTTTTGGTCCTTCGGGGGCCCTCCTCGTCGCCACGGCTGGACGCAGCTCGAAAAACTGGTGCGTTATGACCCCAGCAGGGGTCGGGGGACCCACTTTGAGCGAAATATTTGAAGCGACCCTCGCCGATCAACGATTCGGGCAACTCGATGAGCTGCGCTGGGGGGGGGGCAGGGTTCGGACTGCGTCGAGCACACGGCGACATCCGAACCCCGCCCCCGCCCCCCATCGATGCAGTAGAATCGATGGTCGGTGGGGAGGAGGAGGAGGAGGAGGAGGAGGAGGAGGAGGAGGAGGAGGCGAACGAGGGAGAGGAGGAGGAGGAGGAGGAGGAGGAGGAGGAGGAGAGGGAGGGAGGAGGAGGAGGAGGAGGAGGAGGGAGGAGGAGGAGGAGGAGGAGGAGGGGAGTGGAGGGGGAGGGGGAGGAGAGGAGGAGGAGGAGGAGGAGGAGGAGGAGGAGGAGGAAGGAGGAGGAGGAGAGGAGGAGGAGGAGGAGGAGGAGGAGGGAGGAGGAGGAGGGGAGGAGGAGGGGAGGAGGAGGAGGAGGATGAGGAGGAGGAGGAGGAGGAGGAGGAGGAGGAGGGAGGGGAGGAGGAGGAGGAGGGGTAGGAGGAGCAAGCTAGGTGAGCTCGCGTCATATCTGACGTCCTACCCCTCCCTCTCATCCCTTACCATGGCGCTGATGTTCTCTATCCGCGGACGCGTGTCGTAGCGGACCTGTGGCTCCGCGCGCGCGTGCGTAGTGGGTGGTGGTGCGCGTGCGTGCGTGCGTGCGTGTGTGCGTGGTTGTCGTGGTGGTGGTGGTGGTGGTGGTGGTGGTGGTGGTGGTGGTGGTGGTGGTGGTGGTGGTGGTGGTGGTGGTGGTGGTGGTGTGTGGTGGTGGTGGTGGTGGTGGTGCGTGTGTGCGCGTGTGTGTGTGTGTGTGATGGCACGGGAAATGACGCCAGCGCTGCAGCGGGAGCACGAGTCGAAACGGGCGGAAGCGCGGAAATGAGGCCAGCGCTGCAGCGGGAGCACGATTCGGAACGAGCGGAAGCACGGAAATGAGGCCAGCGCTGCAGCGGGAGCACGATTCGGAACGAGCGGGGCCCGAAAATGAGGCCGGCGCCTCAGCGAGAGCAGCATTTTGAAACAAGTGCATGCTAAAACCCAGCTCCCGGGAATCCTGTGTGCAAAAAACAGGACGCGGGGGGGGGGGGTCGGTTATTCCCAGCACGCCATCAGGGGAAGAGGGAGAGTCGTATTCATATTGAGTAATTGTGGAGGAGGAGGAGGAGGAGGAGGAGGAGGAGGAGGAGGAGGAGGAAAAAGTGGAGGAGGAGGAGGAGGGGGAGGGAGAGGGGCCGCGCCCCGCACCCGCACGGGAACCCAGCGGGGGGTAGTGCTTCGAGCTTGCCCCCCAGGACGCGCTGCCCGAGGAGGCCGTCGAAGCGGCCTCGGAGGGCCCCTAAGCCTAGGGGCGCAGCGCGGGCCCCACGGCGAGGCGGGCGCGGACTGCTGGCGAGGGTCGCGCGGCGAGCGGCGCAGCGAGAGCGGCGCAGCGAGCGGTGAGTGCGGAGTGCGCCCGGTCGCTTGCGCGGGAGATTCACGGCTCCCTGAGATCCGACGCTCCCGCAAATTTGTTGCAGGCGGGTTTTGGCCGTTTTCGACCTCTGGGAGCCTTTGCCGGGCTCCGGGAGAGTCAAAAATCGACTCTGGACGACAAACCGGCCCTGGAGAAGTGGTCCAGACCTCACGGGGCCCACGCACCAAAAGAATTGGAGCAGCTGGATGTCTGGGCTTAGCGGGCCCTGGAGGCGACAGAGCCGTTTTTCTACCGGCTCCGTTTTGCCGTTTTTGTTGCCGGCTCCGTTTTGCTTTTTTTGTCGCCAGTTCCGTCGCCTTTTTTGTCGCCGTTTCCGAGGCCCACTAAAACTCATAGCTCTCATCCTCATTCTGGGCCAGGTTGTTGCTGGCGAGTTCCTGTTCTTTCAGAAGTGGGTTGATCCACGGCGCCCCCGTCGTGTAGTCCTCGCGCCACTCCTTTTGTTTTCCCTTGTCCACCGTAGTTGTGCACAGTATCGTTTTGTATATGTTCCACTATGTGGTCCTCCATCTCATGCTCAGCGTTCACCTTTTTTTAATTACTGTGTGTGTGTGGATTGCCTTTGCTCCCGTCCCTCTGTTGTCACTTTCGCAGCATAGATGTTTTCATGACCTCTCCATGGCAATGCGCGCGTGATCCCGCCTCTTTCGCGCGTTTCCCTAAACAGCTTGCCTGTAAGGGCTCTATATGAGGCTTTCAAAAATGGCCTTCCCTTCCGCCCTTCCGCCGCGGAAGGCGGCGGAAGGGCGGCGGAAGGTCGGCGGCAGTTAACGAGGCCGCCTCCTCCGGCGGAAGCCAGCGGAAGCTCGGCGGAGGGTAGCTGAAGTTGTTCTGTCTGTTCTTTAATATTTTGTGTTGCGCCCAAGAGATGATAATGTGTTTGGGTGCAGTGCTTCCGAAATTCGCCATATGGTTCCCGAAGAAGGTAATACTCGGAGTACCGGATCCAGAATCGGTTGGGGTGACGTGGCCTACCGCTGTCGCCCATCGTCTCCCGTTGTCTTCCACTGTCTCCCGTCGTCTCCTGTCGCCCCATGGCCTCCCACTGTCGTCCCCATCCCCATCCCTGCTACCCCTCTGCCTCCATCCCTGTCGCTTTTATCCCTGCATCCCGATCCCTACATCGCTATACCCCTATCCCTACCCCGATCCCCCCCTATCGTGCCCCTCATCGTATAACTGTGTAGTGCTGTCCAGGTTTTTCTGCCGCAAGGGTGCCCCTTTTCGCACAGCACGGCATCAGAAGGCCTTCCGTGTGGGGCCTGCGCTGTGAGCCCCGCTAAGACCGGCATCCGTGACCCGCGGCCAGATGTTTGCCAGTGTGCTCTCGTGGTCTCCAGGAGGGTCTCCCGCATGTCGGGGGTGGACAGAATCCCCACCCTGACACGTCGACTATCAAGCAGTGGCGAAACGTCCTGGCGTGCCTATAGGCCTGCCAAAAAATGTTCTAAGAAACTTCTTGTGATTACCACGGAATGTTCTTAAATCATTTCTGGCTGAGACTGTTTTGTTGAATCACGCATCGGGCTTATGTTCTAAGAACATGGGTTTCGTTATTGGAACATTGTTGGGATCTAAGAACATGTCGTGATAGGCCTGTAGGAATGCTTGGAAAGCCAGTCCCTGGTCAAAGTCTAGTGAATTGTTTGTTTTCGGTTATCGGGAGTGCGCCGCGGCCGTCGTTCTCCAGGCCTGCGCCCGCCAGGTGTGTGCCCGAGGTCGTCTTCACGAAGCCCCGTTTTGCTAAAGGGGGTTCTTTCTGTGCATCCCCGAGCGTGGTCTCTCGTAGGGCCTCCCGTAGGGTTAAGTCGGGCTTGTCCTTCTACAGGAGGTGTTTCGAAAATGGTACAGCTTGGGTCGATTTATTTAGAGTATGTTTGGATATTTGTTGAATGTGTTTGGATTGTTTCAAACTTTTCCTCCACAGTCCGCCTTTAGGGGGGCATGCCCGTCCTAACCGTAGGGTCTCTCACACGGTCTCCCGCACGGTGTCCGGTGTGGTCTCCCGAGGGGTCTTCCGTTTGCTCTTCCACACTGTGGTCTCTCTTGCATGTTGCCCCGCAGGGCCTCCCGCAGGGCCTCCTGCGTTCTCTCTTGCAGTGGAGGCCCATGCCGAGAAACGCCCTGCTTGCCTCCAGGGTGCCCTGGGTTTCTCGTGTGCTTCGATGGTCTTGCGATGGGAAGCGTGACGTTCCCACACCAGCATCCAATGGCCTTCCTGGGGTCTCAGGGTTGGGTTCCTTGTGGAAGGTCTCTTGTGGGTTGGCCGCCACTGTATGCACAGCACAGATTCATTCACCAGGCAGTGCTTGCACCAGGGATTCTTACTTGGGTCCTTGGTGAGTCGAGGCTGCTATAGGTGCCCCGTTGGTGGCCGCCCGTGGGCGCATCGCGGGCGCCTCGTGCTGGAAGGCTGTGCCGAGGGCTCGCCCGGTGCCCGCCCCGGGGCGCCTCGCGGGCGCCTCGTGCGTTGAGAGGCTGTGCCGAGGTTGCGCCTGGTGGCTGCAGGTGGGCACCTCTTGGGCGCCTCGTGTCGAGCGACGTTCTCTGTTGCTTGGGGCGTGACGGGCGTCATGGCCCCCGCCCCCCCCCTTCTCCCCGTATGACGTATCGCTCCCCCCCCCCCCTCCCAGTGCGATCTGGGCACTGCCGCCTTGCTCATCGTGATCTGCATACGTGTTCGCATAGGAATTCGCATAGGAGTCTGGTCCGCAGTCGTCGTCGCCGACGTCGTCATCGTCGTTGTCACTCGTCGTTCGTCGCTCGTCGTTCATCGTCGTCGTGCGCGCGGACGCAGCTGGAGCCTTTTTTTGTTTTTCCGAACCATCCTGTGGTGTTGGGTCCTCGTTTTGAAGAGACGGTGCCCCGCGTTCCTCTCCTCTTCCTCCTCCTCCTCCTCCTCCTCCTCCTCCTCCTCCTCCTCCTCCTCCTCTACAGTTACTCAATATGAATACTACTCTCCATCTTCCCCTGATGACGGTTTGAAAGTGTCCGACCCCCTCCGCGTGCGTTTTTTACGCATGTTTCCTCGGAATTGGGTTTTCGCCTGCATGTTTTTCAAAATGCTGCTCTCGCTGAGGCGCCGGCTTCATTTTCGGGCCCCGCTCGTTCCGAAAATGCTCCCGCTGCAGCGTTGGCCTCATATCCGTGCTTCCGCTCGTTCCGAATCGTGCTCCCGCTGCAGCGCTGGCCTCATTTCCGCGCTTCCGCTCGTTTCGACTCGTGCTCCCGCTGCAGCGCTGGCGTCCTTTCCCGTGCCATGCCACGGCATGCAATGCAATGCTAGGTTGATACTACGCTTTGCGGTGCTCTTCTACGCCATGCCATGCCGTGCTCTACAATGCATCGCGTACCCTTTCGGGATCATTGCCCTGCTCGACATCCGACTGTGCGAGTAGAGAGGGGATCTGCGCCATGGTAAGGGATGGAAGGGAGGGGTAGGCTGTCAGATATGACGCGAGCGCACCTAGCTTGCCTCCTCCCCCTCCTCCCTCCTCCCTCCTCCCTGCGTTTCACCCACCCAGTACAGCGTCTCGTGGCCTCCAACGGGAGCTCCACTCAAGGCCCCAGTGGCGCAGCTCGCATGGCGCCGACGCCCCATTTTTGACACACACACACACAACTCACACGTTTTGTAGCCTCACAGGGAGCTCCACCTAAGGTCCCAGTGGCGCAGCTCGTATGGCGCCGCCGCCCCACTTTGGTACCCCTCACACGCTTCGTGGCCCCAGAGGGAGCTCCACCTGAGGTCCCAGTGGCGCAGCTCGTATGGCGGCGCCGCCCAATTTTTGGCACACCCCTCGCACGCTTCGTGGCCATATAGGGAGCTCGAACTAAGGTCGCAGTGGCGCAGCTCGTTCTAGTTTGGCACACCCTTCGTACGCTTCGTGGCCCCATAGGGAGCTCCACCTAAGGTCCCAGTGGTGCAGATCGCATGGCGCCGCCGCCCCATCTTGGCACACCCCTCACACGTTTCGTGGCCCCACAGGGAGCTCCACCTAAGGCCCCAGGGGCGCAGCTCGCATGGCGCCGCCGCTTCATTTTGGCACACCCCTCACACGTTTCTTGGCCCGAGAGGGAGCTCCACCTGAGGTCCCAGCCCAGCGACGCAGCTCGCATGGCGCCGCCGCCCCATCTTGGCGCACCCCTCACACGTTTCGTGGCCCCATTGGGAGCTCCACCTGAGGTCCCAGTGGCGCAGCTCGCATGGCGCCACCGCCCCATTTTTGGAACACCCCTCGCACGCTTCGTGGCCCAATGGGGAGCTCCACGCAAGGTCCCAGTGGCGCAGCTCGCATGGCGCCGCTGTCCCATTTTGGCAACCCCCTCACACGTTTCGTGGCCCCATAGGGAGCTCCACCTAAGCCCCCTGTTGCGCAGCTCGCATGGCGCCGCCGCCCCATTCTGGTACACCCCTCGCACGCTTCGTGGCCCCACAGGCCCACAGGGAGCTCCACCTAAGGCCCCAAGGGCGCAGCTCGCATGGCGCCGCCGCCCGCCGTCCCATTTTGGCACACCCCTCGCATGTTTCGTGACACCAGATGGAGCTCCTCCTAAGGTCCCAGTGGCGCAATTTGCATCGAGGTCTTCTTGGCAGGGCCGCCGGAGGGCTCGCGGAAGCAGCTGGAGGAGTTTGCCACGCGCACGAAACTGTGCAGGAGGGAGGCGGCGGCCCTCGCCAGGGAGCTCAGCTTCACCGGGTTCATCCGCGAGGCTTGACCTGAAGAGCGGCCCGCCCGAGCCTCGCCGTCTCTCGACGGTATGACTATTTGGCCTCGCGCCGCGGGCGGCCCGCGCGCGTCGCTTGGACCCTCTCAGGGCGACCAGCGCGCGTCGCGGGAATTCCGCGCTGCGCTCTACCCACAG